AATTCTATCTCCGACGCCTCTTGTTTTTTCTTTCTTTTCTTTCATTGAAATCAGACACAGCTCACTTCTGATTCATTCTAGAAACAAGCAGTGCACCACAACACATCGCACAACAAGCCAATGTGCCATTTTGGCTACCCTCTCAAGCTCGGTTGATCCGAACTTCATCTTAGTGCACTTCTAAAGTTTTTTAAAGGTCTAACAACCTCATTAGTAAATTCAAAAACACCATTAAATCATTAATCAACTAAAATTTACCAATTCACCCTTTTTAACTCTTAAAAATTTAGAATTTGAAATTAAGGATATTACAATCACCACTTTACTAGACAAAATTGAATAAGAGGAGTATTTTGGGTCCAAATTTGGTGGATCAAACTATTGAGAAAATAGAAAAGATCAATGTAACATCATTTTAAATTGAGCTAATTAAGCCTAAAATTATATTTATTAAGTTTATTAGAGAGGTGTGTGGTTAAAAAGGCCTAATAGGCATGTTTAGTTATACTTTCAGCCTTAAATATGGATCCAAAGGAAGTTGAGTCACCCAAAAATAAAAAGAGGAAGAAAATTTTAAAGGAAGGCTCTGTGCCACACACCATAGCTTAAGGATCAAGCCACTGCAATGCATGCATGCCAACATACTTGGGGGTAATGCTCTTTATGCCATGCATTGCAGTGCATGGACACTTTACTGTTGCAATAAGATCATGAATTGAAGTAGAAAAGAGAAGAAGAACAAAGAGATACAAGAGAGAAATTGAAGAGCTATGCTAGGGCTTCAAGGACTTGAAGATTTGGAGTATTCTAAAGCCCATAAACACCAAAGGTAAAATTTCTTAGCTTTAATCTTCCTACCTTCTTCCATTTTCTTGATATGAGAAGTTAGGGTTTGGTTAATAAAGATAATTTTTGATCCATAAAGACTATGGATCCAAATCTATTGACTCAAATAGAGTTAATGGGAGTAAATTGAACTAATGAAACTTGGTATTTATGGATTTATGATGTTTGGTGGTTGGGGAGCATTTAATATCCAAAAATTCCTATAAATATGTTAGTTGGGGACAATGTGGCTCCATTAATGACCATTAAAGAGTTCAATGATGTTAATGAGAGTTAAATAAAGCTAAGAAACCTTATAGGTAGTTTTTTATGTGAGTAGAGAATGAATCTTAAGCATGAAGAAGTGTTGAGTTAGTAATGAAAATTACCCAAAACTAATCATTTTGGCACCATTCAAGCTTCTTGGAAGCTTTAGGAGTGAGTATTTGAAGGATGAAACATTCGACCTCTCAAAAATTTGATGTAACCAGAGGAATTCTACCTTGTACTTTTGTGTGTTAATTAATTCATTGATTTATGAGTGATAATTGAAGTGTGTAAAGTTAAATGAATTGCAAGTTGGCATGAAATATTTGAGATGTTTGCAAAAGTTCAATGATTTATTATACGCAAAATTTCCTTGAGACATGAATTATGGATTTCGTATTATATGATTGCGTGAGGAGTTCTATGATTGTGTTCTATGAAAAGTTAATGAATGTGCTTATTATCAAGGAGTCCAATGATCCTTGAATTTGTGAAGTTCAATGGGTATGTTTTTAAAGAGTTCAATGAATATTAAAAAATGTGAAGTTCAATGAGATTGGTAGTGGAGTTCAATGATTTGATTATATATAATATGTGATTATCATATGTATGATTGGGTACAATGATGAGATGATGCATTCTTGATTGTTGAGTAAATGCTTACTTGAATTGTGCATTGTATGATCTTGAGAGGCGGGAGTTTGCCTAGGTAGAGGAGTAGAGGTTTAAATCCACGTGGTAAAGCTTCTATCGGAGTTGATGTCCTACCTAGAATTTTGAGATATATATATATATATATTGTCCCACTTATTCAATGAGAGACTATTTCATTAGTTCAATGAGAGACTCAAACTTAACTAGCTATTCATTAGTTCAACGGGGAAGCTAGTCTAAGGAAAATAACACCCCATAGTGTGAGAAAATAGGGCAAACCACGTTCCACAAGTGAGTAGGGAGAACCTTGGCTAGGTAACCCCTCACACGTGTTTAGGCTAGGGAAGTCTCAGATCATAGACTATCCTAATGTGTTAGAGGAATAAGGAGGATATGAGGGAGGTATGCTAATACATATAGTGAAAAAAGTCACATGGTTGTTATAGTGTGACCCTAATGTAATAAAGCACGTGAAAGCCTTATGCTTTATGATATGGTCTTAGATTGATTAATGTCCTATGAATATGCATCTCTGTGAATTGAGAAATGTGGATGTAACTCTTGAAATATATGTTATAATTGGATATTAATTCTTGTCTCATGTATATGTTTTATTGTGAGCCAAAAGGTTGAGTTACACTCTTGAACATGTTCATGTTTTAGAATTGTTTGATTTACCACCTGTATTTAAATTAATTAACATGTATTAGTATGAGTCAATTGAACCTTGGTTACTGAGTGGTTGTACTCATCTCACTATCTTCAATACTACAAGGAATAGTTCAAGAGGATCAAACAAAGAAAAACAATTAGAGGCATAGGATTTGATATCGTAGTAGTAGGCCTCTTTCATCTCTTGAATTTGTATGTGTATATGATGATTAATGTTGCCAACTAGGATTAACTCATTGCAACTTACTTGCACTATGTGTTTTTGTGAAATTATAAAGTGTATTTTGGGCCCTAGGGTGTATGTATGTGAATTGTGATATCTATAGCAGGGTTAAAATACTAGTATAAGTAAAAGTTGAGTATGTCATGTGATTGTTGTGGATTATATATAATGAAATGTGGGTTTCGGGCTCTCCCTTCTATTTTTGGGATTAAGGGGTTGAGCATCAAAAATGTGATTTAAAAGTATTATGTGTGAGGTAGTGTGTTGTATGGTTTCATTTTAATCTATTGTATATGGTTGAAATGGTATTTCTGGCTTTTGGGCTTGTGGAATGAGTTTTTGACACTTTACTTTGTGAAAAATGTTGTAAAAGCGTAAGTTTTGAAAAGAGTGTCTAAATTTTGAATGAGTAATAATCTGAATGTGTAACTCAAGTCATTAGTTAGAGCTTGGAAAGAGCATTCCTTAGACACTTAGCTCGTGTCAATCGAACGTTGGACGAAGGAATGAGGCACGTCAAAAATTGCTTTGAAAACTGTCAAATTGACAGCTGAAGTTGCGGTCATGAACCATGATGCATTGTGCAACGAGCAGCAGCACATGGCATAGAGGCGAACAAGCCGTGGCGCTTGTTCAATGAGCCATGGCGCATACCCTTGAAACTCACAAAATTGCAATGTTTTATGATTTCTAAGCTAATACACTAATCCTTAAAGTGATCCCATGCTTTTACATAGTTAATAACTCTAATTTGTCAGTTGTAAAATCTTTGAAATGACTTAAATTTTGAAAACTTGGGATCCCACCTTTACAACTTATTTGCAAACTTGGTAAATTTATTTTTTCCTTAATTCAATCTATTGATTAATTGAGATTTGAAGTTAATTATGGATTTGAGAAGGAGCATATTATAATCAGACAAAAGCTTCTAATGACTCAAAGCAAGCAGAAGACCTACGCAAACAAAAAAGATGAGACTGTTGGAATTTATGGTAGGTGATAATGTATTTTTGAAAATCACACCTATGATCGAAATTGGGAGATCCATAACAACCAAGAAATTGACTCTTTGATTCATTAGTCCATTTGAAGTTTTAGAGAGGATTGGACCCATTGTCTATTAGATCACATTGCCTCATCACTTATCGGCTGTACATTATGTCTTTCATGTGTCCCAACTTAAATTGTGCTAAACTGTAGTCAAATGGTGTTAAAATAACTTAAGGCAATCTGTTTGAATTAGTTCTGTAATTATTGTGGAGATTTTGACTAATTGTCATGGTAATAAGGGCAATATTACAAAAAGATCTCTTAAATCTTTCAAGGCTAGTTGAAATTACAAAGAATTGCATCTTAGTTGAGTTGGTTGGTAGAATTATTGAGAGCTCTCTCGGTATTGTGGGATTATGCCAAAAAAGAGAGATGAACATGAGTAATTGGAATGTTAAATCTCTTAGCAAAGATCAAATTCTCCAAGTGACGCTTGATGCACACTACTTTATTGATTGGCAAAAATGTTTTTCCTTTGAAATCTTTTTAGAGCACTTCTCCTCAAAGGTCCTTCTTTTCCTCTCTGAAGGAAAACTCAAAGCCGTACTCTAAGCCTTGTTGGATCAAAAAGGAGTGGAAAATGTCCTCAAGGTTATGATGAAGTTAATAAAACGAAGAGCATACAGAAGGAGAAAGGGTTGAAACAAACATTGATGTAACATCCTGAAATTTAAAATAAGATTAACTAAAGTTAAGGGTTAAGATAATTAACCTAGGTCCTAATTTGATTAATTGGGGTAATTGGATGGCCTTTTAATTTTATTGGATCCTATATAAGGCTAATAAAGGGACTAGAGGAGCCTTTGTACCACTTTGAGCCCAAATTAAGATATTTAAGTTAGGGTTCTCAAATTGTGCAATGAGCTAGGTAGACATGCATAAGTTTAAAAACTCCCGAGACGCCACTTTCTGGCAAAAAATAAAGAGGGAAGTGGGAGGCAAAGGGAAAACTAGGTGGCAGCCTGTGTTAGAATTTGTCCTAGGGGTTAGAGGCCTTCTGGAGCTTGAAATCCTTTGAGTAAGTCTTCCCTGCTCCTCTCCTACTCTCATGCATTTTCATGGCGATTTTCAAGCTTCGGATGAGGAATATAAATCCGTAGCTACAGTTTGCCCTTTCCTATGGCCCTAATGGAGTCCAATGGGGGTCATTTAATCTGAAAAATATACTAAGCCCACGAAAAATCATGGCTTGTATTATCATAAATAATTCCAAAGTCTATAAATTCCATTTTGATTAACACAAGTTTAACCCACAACTGCCACCTGACTAGCTCATACACGAAGGTAAGGTAATATATGAATAACGGTAAAAAGTTCAAATTCTCCGTAGTTTAAAAAAGTTTAACCCACTAGCACATTACACGACTGGTCCACAATTGCTTCTTGTTGGTGTAGCCTACAATCTACCATCACCTAGCACGGGAGACAATCTACCCCGAGAATTTGCAATAATCAGCACTTCACGTAGGCAAGCTCTGGATAAAGTACAACATACAACTTGGTCCACAATGAAAATAAATAATCCCCAAGGTTCTCTATAATCAAAACTTCCTCTGACAATTTAATACATTAACCGCTCCTAACCATATTAGGCTAGTCTCGTGCAAACAAGCTGATGTTTCTACACTCTAACATCCTAATAAAACTACTAATATCCCCTTCCCCTTCCCCTTCCTCTTCCTCCCCAACCCCGCCCTCTGCCTCTTGCGCCGCCTCTTGCACTGCCTGATAATCCTTCCAGCGCTCTATTAACAAGTTGATTTTGAAAACCGCCAGCACCTCGACCCTTCTTTGATGCAATGTTATTGGCTCCGTTAGCAGCAGTTGCAGGCCGCTTAGCTCTGCAGAATATGTGAAGATTTGTTATAATTAAAGTAAAATTATTCATGAGTCTTGACTTACAGAAAGTTGGAGTTTAAATGATCTTTTTGACACAAAAGTCCACTATAGCCAAATTATAAATAGTTTAATTCTTTCATTCTTCACTCCTTTTAACTAAGATTAAATTTCAAAACACTATATGATAGGTCAAATGCTTTTTAAACACTTCAAGCCTATTGGACATGTGATGGCCCTTGTTAGGAAAATTTCACAAGCCTTCCTTAACAGCTCCACGTTTGAATTTAGATGGTGTCTGAAAAGATTTTATATTATAACCAATCTGACATTGATACGTAGTTGTGAACTGCAAAAGATGAAAGAAATCATACCCGATTGCAGTTGTGGCAGATGATGCGGTTGTTTTTGTGGTCTCCTTCCAAGATAGGTTAATGCTCTTATCTCCAATAAACGATGGTGTTTTGGCATGTAATGGCTGTACAAAAAGTCAAAAAAGCGACCCAAAAAGAAAAAAGGATAGAAGGGGGGGATAAAAGAATTAGCGACAAAGGATTGAGTGCACAAATATGTCAAGGTCAAGAAAAGGTTGCATTTTTGCAAGTATTTTACCTTCGTCATTGCCAAAATGTTATTGCATGTCCGTAACCCAGTTGTTGTGTTCTGTTTTTGAGTTTTCTGCAACGTCAAATCAATATATATATATTAAACAAGAAACATACAATAAGATAAAGGAGGCCAAAGAAAAGACTCTCAAGTCCAGAGGACAAAACTCACAACTTTTTCCTTCGCTTCATCTGTATTAGCAGCTGCCATAGATTTGTTGTGCTCAGCCATTCCCTGAGTTAATTTCTTAATGGTAGCCCGGGTTAACTCCTCAATATTATTCAATCTGGGGGGCAAAAAAAAAAAGAAGAAACCAAAACCATCACCAGGAAATCTATCTATCTATCACTTACTTTGTAGACTAACTTAGGACTACACAAAAGACAGGACAGCACTGGACTTTGACCTAACCCGAAGCCCGATCTCTTTCATGAAAGGGACTAGGTTAGAAAACCCGTAATCCGGTCTTGTCCAATGATAATCCGAAGTTTAATAAGACTAAACTTGGTCCATAGGACTAAGAGACTGGTCCTATTAGTCCAATATTCACTTAGCTTTTTTTTTCTCCCTTTTTCCTCTATGAAAGGCAATAATTTATTTCAACCTAATAAACTTAATTAAGATAATAAAAACACTTATAATCATAATAAATCCATAATAATTTTCAACAAGAAGAAAAAAATATTTCAGTTACAATCCAAATAATTTAAATTTATAACTTCAATAAAAACAACACTCAAGAAACTTCAACAACACTACATTACAACAACAATTTAAAAACAAACTCAACAAATCTTCATACAATCATCTCTTTAGTATCAATTACACTTAAAAATGTCAAAAATAAATTAATCATAATTATATTAAATAAACTAATAGGACTGGACTGGACTAAGTAGTCCAAATGTCTAGTCTCCTATCTAGTCCAACCTGAAAAAATAGTCTGGTATTTTCAATCTTTTTGATACTAATGGACTAGTGCTCATATGGACCGGACTGGACCAGACCATTTCAAGGCAAACAGGGTTAGACAAGACCGGAAGACTTTTACACAGCCCTAGACTAACTAGTTAAAACAAATAGTTAAAATACATCAAGGGAAGTTCAACTAGGAGACTAACTAGTTAAAATAAATAAAACTAATCCCTAAAAGTTATATTTAATACTACCCCTGGGCCCATTAATAAGAGACAATTTTTAGTGTAGGTAGGAACAACTAATTCCTAAAGACAGAACAGAACCCTAAAGGTAGGGATTACAATAACCACACAGTAAGTACAATAATTACGACTAAGAAAGCAGTATTTTTCCACTCTCTCCCTGAAATTGATAAGTTAAATTCGTATATTCCAAGTTTACTGATTAATGTCTGAAAAATGGCATTAGACAGCCCATTTGAAAGGTGAAAGCCCATATCCTACTTGGTTGTGAAGGAACAAAATATGTACGGGTCAGGCCACTAGCTAGCTTCTCATTATTAACACATGCCTATCCCTTCATTGTGCTTACTGCTTAGGCAGCTTAGCATGGTAATGTGATAAGACCCCAACCCCTGTCACCATGACAACTCACAAAAAGGAGATATAAAAAGAATGGCAAAGAGCAGAAAAGATGGAACTATCGGTTTAAGAGAAAATCCTGTGGGTAAAGACCAGCTGACACATCAAAGTAGGGGAGTAAAGCTAGTGTTTTGGCAGGGGCAATCTACTTTTGGCTTTTTAAATCTATATGTTCGTGTAGAAGGAAAGTGTGGAGTATTTTTGAAAATTGGAATGGTGTGGAGAGCTCTGGCCTCTTGAATGCCAGATTGGGGTGGAGGAAGTTCATCTTGCTTCATCATTTGTTCATGTGTAGCTTAGGTTTGTGTTGCTGTACTGGGTGTATGTTGTGTTGTTTCATCATATTTTGTGTTGTTTCATGTACTCTGTAATTTCAGCTCCTTATTCTGCTTGCAATACAACTCCGTTAGTCTGTTTAATCCCATTTGTGGTGTATTTTCAGTATTTTCGTTGGTTTTAAGTTTATTAGGATAGAGGGTTCCAACATAATGTTCCATTGTACTGTGAAATATTGAGAACTAGTTGGCAATAAAGCTTCATTGAAGCCTTCACCAAACCTTCAGCCTTCCAGGTCTTTCAAGATTATAGTAGTTCACATGCCCCAAGGATCATTGCTCTAAACTCAACTTTATTATTGGACCTTGCAAAAACCTTCAATTTAATGCTTGGCCAAGTTACAAGATTGCTTCCTAGAATGGTAGAGTAACTTGAGGTCAATACCCTTTCAACTATGGATCGTGCATAGCCTGCATTTTACTTAGGCTTCAAGCGCCAGCCCCTCTCCCTTCTTAAATAGAATTATTCTTCCCATGTACCCTCCAAATTCTAAAATACTCATGCTTGGAGATATTATTCTTTGAGGTTATCCATAAATTAACACACAACACTCATGGTACAAGCTATATCAGGTCTACTATGTGAAATGAATTAACTTCCTCACAAACATCACACAAGAAATTTGATGAACTATCAGATCATTTGAAGAATCACAAAGTTTGTAGTTTGACACAGTGAATCTACTGCTTAAATCCCATGTTGTGTATATCAGCCAATAAGTCTTAACACATATTTATGATGTGAGTGTGACATTAAGATCTCTTGCTTGAGAGTGAGCTACTTCAATATCATGAATGTACTTCAGTTTTTCTAGTTCATCAATCTTAAACTCCTACACTAACAATTTCTTTTAAGTTCTTCGTTCATTCCAAGTCATCTCCTATTGCTAAAATGTCATCCACAAAGACCAAAAACACTCACTCCCTTGATGTTGAATGCTTCACAAAACAATGCACGATCACCTTGGCTTTGTCTATACCCTATGCTCACCATAACTCTGGTCAATCCAAAGCTCTTGTGAGCTGTTTCAATCCAAATAAAACTTTTTCTTCACATGCCAGGGAGAACCTCCATATAACCTTATCAACATCTCCATCCAAGAAGGTTTTCTTGATGTCAATAATTGTAATTTACAAAAAAATGGTAACAGCCACAAGAGGTCAACAAGGGTTGCAGTCTCAAGTATTCCACGTCATAGGTTTAAGTATACTCTTTGGCAATAAAGCTTTCATAGGTTAGCAGTCATACGAATTGTCCTTGGTTGTGAACGCCTATTTTCACCAAATTAGTTTCTTCCCTTTCAGCAATTCCGATTTCCTAATGCCTCTAATAAGGCTTTTGGGATAGAAGTTGTAATCAGGTGAGTGAGAGGCCTTCAGGTTAAGACAAATGATCTTACTTCTTAGATTACATGAACAGTTGAGAGTCTAATGCAAGTTCCAGGTTCATTTCTCTTAATAAATGGAATATCGTAATCATTTTGTTCAAGTGTTTTAGTGATGTATCACTAAGTGAAAAAATTATTTTGACATTAAGGGAAGAATTGGATCACTAGACTAACATGGGCATTGGGAAACACTTTTGACAGAGGAAACACTACCCAATACTTTGGAACAAGATCATTGGGCATACCAAAGTTTGTAAAGAAATGCGATAACCTGCAACTGAGAACGCAAATTCTTGGGAGAAGTCAATTGATGAGATAGGCAGCAGTTAAACTACTAACCTAATAATGTTTTGAGTTACTTTTTTGAAACAAGAAGGTCCTTATGCTTCCCAGAAGCTGACCCTTCTTCTATTCAGTCATTCCTTTGTTGCGGTGCATTACACAAGACTCATGTTTTGATCATATCATAAGTTAGAATTATCAAACTCACATCAGATTTGTTTTAATAAAAAGATCCAAGAAATACAAGTCTAACCATCAATGAATGGAACAAGCTACTGTGTCTCATAGAAGTAAACAACAGTGGATTACAATGGCACAGTTGCCACTTGCAACTGTTCAGCACTTTCACCCATCCCAGGCTTCTGTTTCATTTATATTTTTTTTTCTTATCTTTTTGGCTCAAATCCTTGTTTATTTATTGGAAATAAAGGACAAGATCTCCATTTCCTTGACATATCAAGATTGACAAAATTAGGAGTGGTCCATTCTTAAGCTTCATTGGATTTGGCTCTGACTTAAAAGTTCATTTAGGCTGAAACCCTAATAAGTTGATACTAGAGTCGTGAACGATTCTCATATGAACCCTAACAGGCTGAAACCTCGAGGTCATTTCCTTCTTCACAAAAATAACTATAGTGCTACTGCACTACTTGATCATGGTTCAGTTAATTAATTCAAAACTCCATAGCCTAGCAAAACGGATACTCAAAATTCAAGTATCCACAAATTGACACAGTTACAATGCTAATGCTATAAAAAGTGTATCACACACAAGAAACTTAGGATGACATGAGTGGTAGAGACTCTTGTTAGTTAAGCAAATGGTTAGGGATTCTGATGAGACTCTACCACTGAACAGATAAATATGCAGAAATAATAGAGATTAATGACCAACAAATCAGGGGAAACACAGAGGTTTGATAATAATAATTTCAAAAGGCTGAATCAATGTTACAAAAGACACTTCACCGATTCAGACAAACCCTATTCCCAAGTTACAGCCCGAACTCACAACAACCACTATGGAACCCAAACACATGCAATGCTATCTAAGCATGCCGTCTGGTTTTTGAGAGCCAGTCTCTCCCTTGAACAAAACCCAAAAGTAATGAATACCCCCCCAAATGAAACTAACAGCTACTATAACCCAAAAGCAAAGTGAACAGTCTCCCACACCAAGTTCTGCCAAAGCAGACCTAAAACCACCATGAGTCAATACTAGGTTTGACTAGCTTTCTCCTTAAGAGTAAGGAGAGCAAGCTCAACATTCTGCCCCTTAGAAAGATGCTTTCCCTTTTCTTGTATTTTTCTGAATCTCCTCTTATAGGTTTTTTCAGCAAAATAGAGTCTATCATTACCCTCCCCTAAAAGCTTCACCTTGTCCTCAAGGGGAAAATTTGGAAATTGCTTAGCAAGAACAGCCGCATCCTCCCATGAATTCTCAAAGTCTAGCAGATCTTTCCACTTGACTAAAACTTCCAGCTGGCCATTCATGAGTTTGTGAGCTTTACAAATGTCTTGAGGCTGAACTTGCAACTCCCATTCAGCAGAAAGAGCAGGCGGAATGGTTGGGATCACAGCAGTAGAGGAAATTGATTTTTTAAGCTGAGAAATGTGAAAGACAGGGTTGATTCTAGCTGTAGGAGGGAGTTCCAGTTTGTAGGCCACCTGACCAATCCTCTTGATAACTCTAAATGGGCCATAAAAGCATGGGCTGAGCTT